GGGTATGGCGCGAGTGTAGGAGAAAAGAATGGTGGTGGTGTGGTGGAGAATGAAGAATAGGGAGGGGGACCGAATGATGAGTAGCCGGAGGGCATTGGTTGTGATATTGGAGGGTGAGGAGGGGAGAAGAAACAGAAGGAAGGATAGGAATAGAGGGTGGTTTTCGTGCCCAGCTGAAAAACGGGAGCGAAGAGTGGTTGTGGTGGAGGACGGTGAGGACGGAAGCAGGAGTAAGTGATGGTCGCAATGTTTGAGGATTTAAAAAATTCGTTTTTACGCCCCATTGACACATCGATCATTAAGGAGGCGGGCTTCCGATCCTGCCTGTTAGGGCCAACCTGGACTGAGAAGGATACAGCATCCCATCCCAGCAGAATACTCGATAAAAATATTTGAGTCTAAACTCACTACTCACTCGGCCAAAAGAGATACCTAGAACAACTGGAGGTGTCATCTCGGACTCACGAGGTTGACGCGTAATGATCCTCCATCCTTCACGGTCGCGAGCTACTGTTGCACATTCTGCTATAGCCAGGCCAGTCCATGTTTTCATGTTGTCCATCCCAGTTACTCTTTGTCATCCCCTGGCTCTCCTGCCCCACACCTTTCCTTCAAGCACCTCTTTCACAACGGTCTGTTGTCGTTTTAAGTAACCAACGTATTGTATTTTTAAATATTGTATTTCATTAGGCAGGGTTTGTCTTGTGTGGAGAATCTGGCACACCCCATTGTTCACTTTTTTTCTTCTTTTCTTTTTTTTTTGGGTGGGGGTGTGGGGTTGTTGTGGCGCTCCAGCTAGTTCTTCCTGGAGATGGTACTATGATACTATGATAAAAATGTGCAAAATTGTATAGGTTTACCGCCCCTTGCAACACTACTGTAAGGTTTTGCGAAAGAGGCGGAATTTTTAGATTTTACACCCACCCCCGAGAGAACTGAGCCAGATGGGATACATTGTGCAAGGTGCCTTCACTAACTCACAACGTTGTAATGAGCTAAGAAAACTTCCTCACCCAGGAATAGAAGTCATGCGTTCTGGATACAACGGTAGAGAGCCAAACGTTGACACCAAAGAAGCCGGTTAAGAGGATGGTGATGGTGGAGTTGGAGTTGAGGATGACAAAAAAGGGGGGGGGGGACCGAATGATGAGTAGCCGGAGGGCATTGG